CGCCATAAACAGCCGCCTCTAAACCACACTACTAGAAAAAGGCGGATTACCTGGGATATTTACCTGGGGATAAAATTCCCAGATTGACCTGCAGATTTTCTTGCCAAAAATTTAAAATTCTTAAATTATAAAATATTATACATGCGAATTTAATTTCCCCCGATAAATCCGCAGGCAATTTTGGCGCCATTAGGCGCAAACATATTACCTGGGGAATTACCTGAGGAAATAATCGGCAAATCCTCTATCCGTAGGTGAATTCGTAGGTAAAAGAAAAAAAAAATCATTTGTGAGTTGGCAAAAAACTCCCCAGGTAACGGTCATGCGGAGTTTGCTGCGAATTATTTCATGGGGATGTACCTGGGGATTCATTTTTCCTGGGGAATTACCTGGGGTTATCTTTCTACGGTTTTACATGGGAAATATTTCCTGGGGAATTACCAGGGGATTTATTGTTTGGGTTTTACCTGCGAATATTTTCATAGGAATTCTTTACTAGGGATTTACCTGTGATTTATTTACCTTTTACCTGCGTATTTATTTACCCGAGGAAATTTGCTTGGGAATATCTTGAAGCGGTTTCACCTAAATATTTTCATAGCGAAATACTCGAGGATTTAATTTCTTGTGTAATTAGTTGGGGATTTGTGTATTGCGAGTTTAGCTAGAACATTTTTCTTGGTGATTTAGCTGAGGATTCCATCACTCCGGGATTTATCTTTTTTCTTGCATAATGACTTACTTGCTCCGAGCTTGAGTCATAGTACTTTCTTTGAAAATCACATATGTTGTATTGAGAATTTTATTACTTACTGAATTATTTTTGCATCGATTTGAAATTTATTAATTATCTCTTTGTGGTTAAGTTTATTATCTCTACTTCTTAAGCTTATTAATTTAGCTATGCATATATCACTGCAAATAAAAAAATTATACCAAGCTAATCAGAGGGCATGAGAATAAGTTAAAAGTAATAGTAACGAATTATTTTATCTTAAGTATAAGATAAATTAAAATATATGCTTGGAAGATAATTATCATACTGAAGAAGTTCGATCATAGACAAAAGTGTATAGATTTATTCTATGTACATATTTTTTATATGTCCCCAATATCTTTTTTACATGACCTTAGCTAGATCATATTCAGTATTATGGACGATAAATGCTCATCTTTGTGTAGGTAATGAATGCGAGAAAGATAGCAATTGCATAAACGTAGCGATTTCGAGAAAATCATGGGGTACACACAAATTTAAGAAATATTTCAATTTGATTTTTCAGAGTCTAGCTACAGAATATTTTTTGTGGGAAGAAGTTAGGAATGACTTAGTTATATTGAAAAAGTAATATTTTTGAAAAAAATAGTTTTGTCAAGCATACATATCTAACATATCAGTCGAAAATTAATCAAAATAGCTGTCAATTCCACATGCACGGTTAAGGTAAATGTTGTTTAGCTCTGTCATAGAACAAGTTTTATTGAAAAGGACTGATGGTTACTACAAGAGTTCAGTTTACTCATATTTAATATAGTGCTTTTTAAATATCTCAATAAATGTATTGCTGCAAATTTTCGTTCACTGGTTCGATATTTGTTCCCTTTGTGATAGAGCAGTAAATGAATGTCCTGTAGGCTAATTGTACAAGTTCTCTCCTCTATTCTTGCTGTAAGGCTTCAGCAAATTACACAATTAGCATGTGAGTCTGTATCTAAGTGAGAAGAGTTTGAGTCACCCCACTTGTTGGATTATACTTTTTTGTTATTGTTGTTGTTGTTGTTGTTGTTGTTAGTTTGAGATTGTATGGCTAATGCAATTTTTATTTGAAACATGCAGAAAAAATTCAGACGGCTCCCTCACTATAATCAAGCTATGACAATTTTGAGAAAAGAGCAGCTGCAAGAATGACCCAACTTTTTCAAGATGTTAGAAAACAATTGCCTGTGAAACCAAATTGGATGGGGGATGATGTATTCAAGGAGATAAAGGAGTATTGGGAGTCTCCTGAATTCAAGTCAAAGTCCGAACAAAACAAAATGAATCGTGATTCAAATGACGGCACCTCAGTTCATACAGGTGGTTGTATACCTCATCGAGTGATTTGGAATAGAATGGTAATATATAGATCTTTTTAAATTATTTCTTCAAGAAAATAATATCATATTCAGTGTTAGTAACATAGTATTTTCATTTATTTTCAGAAGGAAGCTTCTGGAAAAGATCCTTCAATTGCGGAATTTTATTTTTAGACTCATCGCACAAAAAAAGAAAAATGTTGGGTAAATGAGAAAGCTGAAACTGCTTATTTAAGTGTTCCTTCTGTTACTTCTTTCCGAACCAATACCTCACTATCAACAGTATGAGCACATATGTCAAGGCTTTAGAAATAAATTGCCTTAGTTATGAAACTAGATAGTAAGTCTAAAATCGGTTATATCTTAAAGTGAAGTTCGACCTTTGGGGTCGGGTCTGTTTTAGTGTTGCTGAGCAATCTCATATCCTATCGCCTTGGGTAGCAGAGTCTCTGCAATTACCACATGGGATTGGCCATGAGAACTATATTTTTCATTTATTTTTCCTTTTATGGATCATATTAACTTATACTATGTTGAAGAATGCTACTTTTAAAAAATAAAGTTACTTGTGTAGAAAATTTAAAGCCCTACTGTTACTTAGCCTCCGTCACTTCTCTATCAATGTCAATGAATCTGATAATCATACAAAATTTAAGAATGAATAAGAAGGAAACTAATGAAGAACCTGATATATTTTTGTTGGCTTTTTCTTTCCTTCCAATCAGGAAACTGATGAAGAACCTTATAACCTAACAACAGTAACAAAATAAGAAGGAAAAAACAGGTTGATATGCAAGGACATGACAAATGACACAATTTTCTTTCTTTGTGATAATTAAAAACTATGATGATTCTTCAGTAAAATGCAAAATGGTACTTTTTAAACTTCTTAAAGAAGTTTGTCTCTTCAGTGATTTCGTCACCAGCTTCTTCCTGCAAGCTCATAATGAACCCCAAGAAAACAATAGTGAATTTTCAGAACTTATGAGAGCAGGGAACTACTTTATCTAGTAATAAAAAGATAAAACCACAACAATTTGACCTCTTTTCTTACCTAAGCATAAAAGGATGCTAAGTTTCAGAATTTAATTTAAGTTTATTGAAAAACTATTTGACATCTGTATTACCTCTCTCCTGTAGTTGCAGCTAAATTCAGATCCATGCATTATCATTTTATGACACTGAATTATTTCATTTTGTTGATTATTGATTGGCTGCTGGTCATTCAGTTTTGCAAGTTCAGCTGAATCAGAGAGATATAATATTTGTAATAACTTATTTTGGTGCAGAATAATTTTGAAAAAAAAGAAACAAGAACTTTCAGCTTCTCAAAGTGCATCAACTGAGGTAGGAGACACTAATTCAGCAAGCCAATTAAGTGAAATGGATATTTGGGTGCAATCTGTTGGTGGAATGAAAAAAGGAAGGGTTGCAGGCCTTGGTTCTTTGGGTCGATCTGTAAAACCACTTAAGCATTCGACATCTACTTTATCAGGAGAAATTGATGAGATAATTAAATCTCAAGTGCATGCTTCCAATGCTGACTTATATGCTCAGTTGCAAGAAGAGCGGCGCAAAAATAAAAAGATGAGGAAAGAATTAGACTTATTAAAGAAGTATGTGAATTTCAACACATCATCTTCAAATGAGTTATCGTCTCAAGAAGACAGTCAAGGATCCGAGAATAAAAGCGATGATGACTCCGATAATGTGAATGAAAGTGGTTCTAACCATGGTAATGTGAATGAAAGTGACTATAATCTTGATTGAGATGTTCATTAGACTATTAAGTTTCACATTTGAGACATTTTGGTTTTTGATTAAGGATTATATGATATTACATTAACGTTATGAATTATGTTTTTTCTTTGTTATAATTATATTAGACGTGTGTTGAATGATTATGATAATATAGTTGAATTGTACGAATATAAGCTAGAATAAATTTAAAAACATCCTGAAAATGCATAGATTACTTGCGAATTTTCATGGGAAAATCTTTTCAAACGCGTCAATTTTATATGGTAAATTTCCCTATAAAAAAATTACATGGGGATTTTTTTACCAATATTACATACGAATTTTCCTACGAAAATATCATTTATTGATTTTCTTGGGGATTTCAAATAATTCTTCTGTTTCATTGGAAATCTTACATGGTGATTTACCTACGAATTATTACTTGGGAACTTTGCTGGGGTTTTACATGCAACATTTTTATGGAAATTTTCTTGCGAAAATGTGCTCCTGCGGATTATACCTGGGGCTTTCCAAAGAATTTTCCTACGGAAATATTCACAAGACAATCCCTTTTGTCCATAAATTTTCACCTCAATTTCCTACAGACTTACTTAAGGATTTTCATGGGGAATTACATGCGGATTTCTTCCTACAAAAATTCCCAAGAAAAATCCCTTTTTTACGAATTTTCGGCAAAATATTATTGCGATTTTTTTGAGAAGTTTCGCAGATAATTCCGCAAGTAAGTTACATAGGGATATAAAATCCCCAGGTAGATTACCTGGGGATATTTTAATTCCCAGGTAATAATTTACCTACGAAGGTTTTTCCAACGGATTTAATTTGGTAGGAAATTCCGCAGCAAATCAAAGTACCTACGCATTTGTTCATCTTATCCCTTGGAAAATCCCCAGGTAATCAGCAATTTTCTTGTAGTGACCGCGCCACTGCTACGGGCACTGCCAAAGAATGGTGTTATTTTATAAATTAAAAAAAAAAAGGAAAAGAAAAAGGAGAAACTAGAGCTTCTTTATGAAAGCGACAGAATAATGTAGCGAATCCCACGGTGGATTCGCCATTGAAACAGGAAAGAAAAATGAAAGAAAGAGAAAGAAATTAAAAGATAAAATTCAGATTTTCATTCAAGACCTTTCTTACGATATCCTACTAGTGAATATAAAGAAGACTAATAAAAGGAGTCCACTTATAATTCTAATTCTTAAAGGAATATTGTGCAAATACTTAAAGTTCCTAAAGGCCCAGAACGTGACATTCCACCCTCCTTTAAATCAACCTTGTCCTCAAGGTTGGAAATGAAAATCCAGAAATGGAGAACTAAATCAATACCCACAATGTGCTCGACTTTGAAAACTTCCCATTGGTAGAAACTAAAATTCCTCTATAGGCTCCATTTCTCATCAATGCTCCGTCGACTCTTAATGCTAAAACACATTTTATATGCAGCAGAAGTATAACCAAGAATGCTACCACCAAATCATAAGTAGCTATTATGATGACTAATTATTTTTGAAGAACCTCACTAATTGATGTACCATAAGTGTCCCCTACATGATGATGAATAAAACTAGTTCCACTAATTTCTCTGGTAGAATGTACTAGCTCCACCCTTAAGTTATCAACTTGGCCAAAGTATAGGAAATTCTCATATTCTTGTCCAGTTGGTCTCATTATGCTTATGGTGCCAAAATGTTTCTTAGCAATGGATGAGATTACTGCAACTTGAATCTTGTGCAAATTTTCAAGCATATAGTAATCGGTTTTATGTATAGCCGCCAAGATGAATGATAGAATAGTTGGTTCTATCCATGGAACTTCCCATGGAGTTTCAAACATAGGTTTAAGACTAATGAGTATCGCAGAAAGATCCTTTAAAGACTCTGCTGAAAAGATCTTCTTCGAAACATAAAAGACCAATGCATTTATAGGTTGAAGGTAGCTAGCGCTAGAACAAGATCCGTCTTCCTTGGACAAAATACTGGTATTAATATCTCCTCCACCAGGATCACAGAAGAAAATGCTTATCTCGTTCATGTTGTGTTCTTCTCCCAGCTCTAATGACATTTTCAGCAAAATTAGAGCTAAAACTTTGAGAATCACTGCATATACTGGAAGTAGATCACCAATAACTGGCTGGAAAAATAACAGAACCGTCACCAAGCTAGGTTTACTTGCACTATCAAATAACATACACACTTTACCCTCAAGGTACAAATAGTTTGAAATGCACCAGAGAACAAAAGTTAACTCTCCCTCCATAGACATTCCTTCAAATAAAATATGGTTGACAATAATATTGATCCACCAGAAAAAGAACAGAGTCCAGGAGTGGAGCACAAGTTTGCTAGACTTGTATAAACCATCAAGTATGAAGGGCTCTCAGTACAACTGAACAGATATTGTGAGTATCTAATCACCTCAGTTAAAATCCAATCAAAAAACCTTAATAGTAAAGGCAATCTATGTACCTCAAGAATTTCATAAACCAAGGCTGATAGAAGGAGAGCTCTTCCACCCTATTGCTCGATAGGAAGTGATACACTTTTTGCAACAATCCCTACAGTTACATGAGTAACTTCCAAGAATGTGCAACTTTCCGGTAACCCCATTTCTTCTCTTGCATGAGCATTCTTCTGAAAACAATTAAGTGCCTTTAGTCTTCCATTTTCCATTATAGAGATCCACTCTGTAACACATTCTATAATAGAAACCCAACTTGTTGCATACCACCGCTTAAGACCTTTGATGGCACTAACATTAATTTTTCCTGAACAAACTTGACATTAGTGCACAAAGCTTTCCTAGGGCCATTAAGAGAACACGAAGTAAGGAGGGGGACTTCCTTATATAACACAATAGGCAATTCAAAATGAACATTAGTTGGATATAAACTGAAGATGCGCTTGAGTTTGACTGACAAGGATGGTACAAGGAGAACAATATTTTTCACTTTTCCTATGAAGTAAACCAAGTGTACATCTCTAGATTTATTTCCCTTGCGCAAAGGAGAACTAATCTTTCCTATTTTCTCAGCAACTGGAAACATATCATCACTTAGCATCTTCTCGAGAAAAGTAGAAGCCCGGTCATAAGTTGAACGCCTACAAAGAGGCAATCTTGAAAACAGAGCAATCAATTCATTGAAAATCTCTGAATACTTAAGATCTCATTATCCTCCACCAAATTCCAAAAAGCATAAGCATCCCCACATTCCATACAAATTACGGTAACCAACTACTCTATTGCTCTCCTCGTCCATGAAAACTAGGGTTTCGTCAAAATTCATTTGAATAAGGAAATTACCCTGGGAACATAGGGTGTCTCCAGCACTCTCACAAGCTCCTCACTTAAAATACAACATGATTTCCTCCCGACTAGACTGTCTAGATCTATGAACAATACAATTACTCTGCAACAGGGACCAAATACCCTCCAATTTCTCCAAATTTACTTCAATTACTCCTCCTCTTTTTTATCATCTTCCACTACAACCTCATTATCTCAAAAATCATAACTATTGTTAGTTGCAATGTTATCCTCAATTTCATCAAAGACAGAGGAGCTTCCATTGGAATCTGACGAAATGGCTCCAAAATTATCCCCTATTTCGTTGATGCCGACAAACTTAATAGAGACATCTCCCCTACTTTCAAAGTTTTTCTCATCTTCATGTTTTTCGGAATCCACAATTTCGAAGATAAATGAAGGATTGAGATATTGATAATCATCCCCTGACATTTCATTCCCAAGAACAAAATTCTTGGCCTCCAAATGACCATTGTTAGAATTGAGATCAATGTCATCTGGCACAAAGAAAAATCACCAAAAATAATTTTAGATTGTAGTTATTGCTTGACAATTGGACCGTTAACATCCATTTCACAAACATGGAATGAAGCATCAAAGTTCTGGAACCACTGCAACTGTGTAAAACTATACTGAAACATGCCACTTGTTTTGTTATATTGAGGACTTTCATCAAACACATGGTTTCCATTATTTTTAGAAGTTTTCTCATTTCTTCTTACTAACCCAAGTTCAACCCCTCCAGTTTTATCTTGTTGAGGACTTTTGTCGATACATATGGTCGCCGCTGCTACCCAAAACTATAGCATTTTCATCATCAGATTTCAATGGTGGTCCATCATCAAGACCGTGGTAAGTGAGGTCAAACGATACCACATATAAAGGAAAAATAACAGACTCACTAGAACTATTTTTTGTTAAATCAAGTGTTACCTTGGTGTCTAGTTCATTAGTGCTCGCTTTGAGCAAGCAAGTAGACTCCGTCAAAGCCGCCGAAGCTGGGGAACCTCCATTAAAATTGATATTAGGGTAATCTAGAGAAGCGGCAGTCCATTTTAGATAGGCTTCACACTCACTCTGAAACTGCTCTGACCGGCGAATGTTCTCTCGCACCAACGAGAGAATTTCATCGAAGATAGACTGTTCATTGCTGATTAGGCTAGGTTCAGTTGAAATATGTTGCTCAGTCTCACCATCATGAACCTCGTATGGATTATATGAAACATGTGAATGGATATAGAAATACTGATTTTGGTAACTCCATGAAAGCTGCTCGGAACTTAAGCGTGGAAGAAATGGGTCTGCTCGTTCGTAGGAATTTTGCGAGTGGGAGTAATAGTGAATAGGCAATGCGGAATCGGGTTCGAGAAATATTGGCTATGATATCAATTGTAGAGAATTGCACGGTGGATTCGCCATTAAAACAGGAAAGAAAAATGAAAGAAAGAGAAAGAAAATTAAAGATAAAAATTCAAATTTTCAGACCTTTCTTACAATATCCTAGTGAATATAAAGAAGACTAATAAAAGGAGTTCACTAATAATTCTAATTCTTAAAGGATTATTATGCAAATGCTTAAAGTTTCTAAAGGCCCAGAACGTGACAAATAACAATAGAAAGAAGAGAAACAAAGATTTCTCTGTTCCAAATATTGATGGAGCTTTGTGCTCCAGTAAAGAAAGATGACGGCTGAAATTTCCAAGATAGAAGAAGTAGTAAAACTTAGTTTTCCTCCTAAAAGGTCAAAGTCTATGTAACTATTTTATAAAATAAACTTGGGCTTCTTGTTGCTTCTTCAAAAGCAAGTGGATAGAATTATTAATTAACGGGGCTAAAGGCCCACTTGATGTTGTCTTGCATTTTTTAGAGGCTTTTTCGTATATATGGTAAAACTATATTATCAAATATGTTCATAGTTTGCTTATTACCCTTCATGCTAATAGTATTTCTACCTAATATATACAATGCATTAAATAATAAATCACTGTAGCTTTATGATTCCTTATTTTGCGCGCTAAAAAAGGGGAACTAAATATTTTCCAGATCTTCCCCAACGCAAATCACGCACATTCCATAATTATCGTCGGCTTCACTTTGATCTTCCACAACGCAGAACAAGATTTTCCATACTCTGTTTTTGCGATACACTCTGTTTCCAGAAATTCTCTCTACATCTCTCTTTATTTCTCAATCGCAAATTTCAGTAATACAAAGTTAATGAAAAGAGAGCAGCAATTCCACCATTGACAACCATTAAAAAGCTTGAAAGCTTTGAATTCAAATTTGGGTTTTCAAAAATCATTATTTGTTTGGATTGGGTGTTGTTGAAAATAATTGAGAATATGGTTTGGAGTTTATATCTCAATTTTGAGGGGTTTTGGTGAAGATTAGACTTGATTTTGACTGAATTTCAGATTAAAACTTGAAGAAGAAGAAGAAGAAGAAGAAGAAGAAGAAGAAGAAGAAGAAGAAGAAGACATATTGCAAAAATTATAGAAAAATTATAGATAAATTGTAGAATGTTATTTATTTATTTATCTTTTATTCATTTACCTATTGTATGAAAGTTGAACAATATTGTATAAAAATTGTATTAAAGTGGATGATTTAGTACTGTTTTGGACAAAAATATGTTTTAAAAATGCGAAAGATGCATTTCAGGGGAAGCATGTCGGTTCCAAATATGTACCCAGTTTGTAGATATTTGTAGATAAATTGTAGATTATTTATATTCTGATTGTAGATGCTTTATTTTCTGTTTTCACAAATAAAAAACGGCTAAAACTTCTACAAATCTTCTGAAAAAACGCAATTATGTCAAAAATCCCAATTAAACTACAATCAAATGGGAATTGGGATATTAAAATTCAATATACCCAGTTTATAGATATTTTGTAGATGAATTGTAGATTATTTGTATTATGATTGTAGATGCATTGTTTGTTGTTTTCACAAATCAAAAACGACAAACTTCTACAAAATCTTCTACAAAAAACGCAATTATGTTGAAAATACCAATTAAGCTATTGAATGGGAGTTGGGATATTAAAATTCAATGTACCCAGTTTGTAGATATTCTGTAGATAAATTGTAGATTATTTGTATTCTGATTGTAGATGCATTGTTTTCTGTTTTCACAAATCCAAAATGACTAAAACTTCTACAAAATCTTCTGCAAAAACGTAATTATGTCGAAAATACCAATTAAGCTATAATTGAATAGGAATTGGGATATTAAAATTCAATGTACCCAGTTTGTAGATAAATTGTAGATTATTTGTATTCTGATTGTAGATGCTTTGTTTTCTGTTTACACAAATAAAAAACGTCTAAAACTTCTACAAATCTTCTGCAAAAAACAGTCTATAATTTATCTACAATTGCTGCAATATAATGTATGTCATGTCTTCTTCTTCTTCTTCTTCTTCTTCTTCTTCTTCTTCTTCTTCTTCTTCTTCTTCTTCTTCTTCTTCTTCTTCTTCTTCTTCTTCTTCTTCTTGTTTCAATATGAAATTCAGCCAAAACCAAGTCTAAATCTTCACCAAAACCCTCAAAATTGAGATATAAACTCAAAAACATATTCCCAATTATTTACAACAACACCCAATCAAAAAATATAATGATTTTTGAAAACCCAAATTTGAATTCAAAGCTTCAAAGCTTTTTAATGGCTGTCAATGGTGGAATTGCTGCTCTCTTATCTCTTTGAAGGTTTGTTCTTCTTCCTTGAGAAAATTTGAAGCTGAAGGTAAATGTGTGTATGAATTTTGAAGATTTGACTTCAATTTTGATTGATTTTAGAAGAAAAAAGCTTGAAATTGGACGTTAATGGAAGGAGTTACATATGTTTCTCTGGTTTTAGCAGAGGGAATAATGGGTTTGAAACGTGGGTGTGGGGAGATACTGGGTGAGGGTGTGAGTTTGGGAGAGAGAAACGTGTGTGTGTGTGTGTGGGGGATTTAGAGGAATATACGGTAACGTTAATTAAGGAGTAATATACGGTACATTAATTGTACAGTTAAAACATATTATAGTATAAAATTGGTAATTAGGTATACTAAATGTAATTAAATCAAACCTTAAACATTGAGGGTAATATAATTTCCTATATGGAATAAGAATGTAAAAATTCCTTTTTTTTATTTGGTAGAACTATTTAGTTGGGTTTAAGAGGTTTCATGGGCCTCTTTCTGTGATGGCAGATTTAAGTCAAGGGCTAAAGGCCCACATTCATATGTCATATTTAATTTAGGGGTTTTGGCATTGTATGTCAACCTAAACTAATAAATGGCATAAAAAAGCCCTAACTTATTGTTATTGGCATCTTATGGCCTACATTTGTGTTTTAATTTAAATTTTTTTTTTTGTATAATTAACTAGGTTAGAGCTTCTTCCCGTAAATTACTTTCTCTCTATCTCTCTATCTCTCTCTCTTCTCTATATCTCCTCATTCTCTCTCTTGACACCAGAATATTTTAGAGCAATTGGCATAAATAAATGCCCAAAAGAATGAATCAATCACGAAACTGAATTTTCGCCTGTTTTCGAAGTTATCGCAAGTTTTTTTTCCCATTCTCACTTAGCATTAATGGACGAAATCAGGCCAACTTTCTACAAATTTGCACAAAAAAATTATCTAGAAAAGAAATATTCTGTTTTGAATCGAAAGAGGAATGAATTTGAGTGATTATACACATTCCAAGTTTTTTGAACTATCAAATTTAAGTGAATGCAGATCTCAGTGTATATCAACTGATATATCAATATATATCAGTTTGTATATATGTTTATTTCATGTATATCATGCATATTTATATACATGTCTATGTATATCAATAAAAATATTGTGTGATATACACTAACATGCAATGTAATATATATGTCTATGTATATCAATGAAAATCTTGTGTGATATACACTGATATATAACAGCCAAAATACGTATTGGTGATTATTTGCGAAATGTATTCACAATTTTATTGTCGCTCTTTGTGTATATCAAAATAAATATAAAATTTGATTTGCCTTCTTTGTATATCCAAACTATGAATTTATAAATATAGTTATTCAAAATTTTTTTGTTATGTCAATACTAATGTATATCATAATAAAAAAAATTATATTATTTGTATATCACATTGTATAACATATCAAATAATGTGTATACCAAATATATATATCATAAATTTATTTTCCTTCTTTGTGTATATCAAAAAATTATTTTCCATCTTTGTATATCAAATATTTATTTACTCCCACAATTATATTTATTATTTTTATGTCTTAGAAATTGCTCCAAACTTATATACATTGCTACAGTGAAGAATAAAAATAAAAAATCAGAAAAGGGATATAAAGAGATTCTGGAAATTTTTAGATACTTTTAAAAGGAAATAAAACATAATTTTTAGGAGGATGGTTGCAACCAATTAGAAGAGAGAAGAGAAGATAGATTCTTTAATAAAGAAAACTAAAGAGAATAAGGCACCATTTATGGGAGAGGATACAAAATGCAGTAGTGGAAATACGGTTGCCTTACATGATACACAACGAAGTAAAGGAGAGAAGAGAGAGAGAGCGGTTCTTATTGCTATTTTGAAGGAAAATAACTTTGGTTATTGGTTGCCAATTGTTTTGGGCTACTATTGCCAAATCTAATATAAGGCCAAAAAATTGTTAATTCTCCTTATGTGTTGTTATACCATGCAATTTTTTCTTTAATTTAATTATTAGGCTAATGACCTCAATAAAATTTAAATTTAGTTCTGTAATTTTTTTATAAATTCCAAATTATTAAAATAGTCATATGTACTTAATTTTCAGAATATAAATTTAGTATTTATATTCTTTAATAAAAACTATAATTATTTTATTATCCTAATTGCTTAAATTGTTAATTAGTTTAATATTAAACTTGTTTGTTAATTTGTTTAACATTAAATTTACTTGTCAATCTGTTTAACATGTTTCATATGTTAATTAGTTTAACATTAAAATAAATTTTATGTGATTTTGAATAGCATGTAATAAATATTAATTAGTTTAACATTAATTTTATTTACATGCTAATATAAGTTATTAGTTAGCTTATGTTTCACATGAGATTATAAAATCATGATAGATAATTTTGTTGTCTTAAACATGATTATGATAATTATTTTCATAATATTTTAATTCTTGGAAGATGATTGGGAACATAGTGAACTTTCGACTCCATAACTAATATATGTGTTTATTAACTTAATCAATTGATACTTAGTGTCATAATATGTATTTATGTTGAAAATCGAGCCTTGCGTTATTTTTTGATCCTCATAATATTTTTTATTTTGTTAAAGAATAACTACTGCTTCGGAAAAAATTGTTGCTGAGCTAAACAAAAGGGTTAAAACTCAATGGCGACAACTATGAAACCTGAAGCTTGAAAGTCCAGTATGTGCTAGAGGAACAAGACTCTTAACAATGTCATGAATGAGCATGAGGAAGGCAACACTGCTCAGCATAGGCGTGAGCGTGAAGCCTATGACAGTTGGAAGAAAAAGAACTCCATTGCTCGCATTACATTGTTGAGCACCTTAGATGATGACATTCTAAGGGAGTTTAAGGATCACCAAAGAGCTATGGATCTTTGGAATGCTTTAAGGAAAAGGTTTGGTACATGTTCCACTACAAGACTGCGATCCTTAACGATCAAATTTAATTCATATTAGAAACGCCTAG